TAAACCAACAATGGAAAACATTGAAAAACTGACTTCTCGTTCCATGCAGAGATATTAAAAAACCGATAAGAAAGAGAGACAACTGGTTGACCGACGAAATACTTGGCAGGATGGACCTAAGAAAATAAGCTTAGAACAAAGACAGTCACAATTACAAAATCAATAACAATGAAATCACAAAAATAATAAGAGAGGCAAAACGATCATACTATAAGGAAAAATGTAAAGAGATAGAAGATCCGAACAAATACGACCTATTTAACCTACATAAAAAGGTTAAAGAAATGGCAGGGATGCAAAACAGAAACTAAACCAGAACATCTTTGGATAAAAATGGAAATCTACAGAGGAAACCTACAAAACATACCTTTCGATGACAGAGAAACAAGTATAGAAATTAAAAAGGAAGTAATATTATATGCACTAAAGAACACGAGAAACAGAAAAAGCCCGGAACCAGATCAACTCCCTATTGATATCCTTAAAATAATAGAAAATGAGTACATGGTTGTCCTCGTAAAGCTGTTTAATAAAATTTATAAGTCGGGTAACTTACTCAATAAATGGTTGACCTCAACATTTATTTGTCTGTCAAAAAAGAAAAATGCTAGAGAATGCACCGACCACTGCAACATAAACCTGATGTCTCACAAATTTAAAATGTTTTTAAAGATCTTCCACGTACTCATTTACCTAATACTTGATATGGATGTATTAAAGAAATCTAATTTGGATTCCGTAGAATAGAGCTTGCTATGAATAGAGCTCTTGAGAGAGAAACGACAGAAATAAAGGTCAATGGAACACCAATTAAAAACATTAGATATGCGGACGATACTATCATAATAGCAGACAACCTGCAAGACCTACAAAAGCTAAGGAATAAAATAATTGAAGAAGAATATGGATGATCAATAAACATCAAGAAAAATAAATTTATGGTATTTATATTATATATATATATATATATATATATATATATATTATATATATATATATATATATATAAAACTTAGAGCTAAGATTAATATTATTACTAAAATTAATATCAAACTCAAGAGTCTTCCGGGTTTAACCGCGTCGATATCCATTTTGCCGAACTTTCGGCATCCTCTCTGATGCCTTCCTCAGGGCTTCCGAGGTCTTAGTCTCCCGAGCCCCCAAACACTTCTACAGTGTTCGCTGATCACTGCGCTGTCACTACTGTAGGACGTTAGCCAACGTTACACAACGTTACCAAGAAAGATAGTTATCCTCTGCCTCGGATCGTCGGATCGACGACACATTGGACACATTGGCTGGTAGTAAATTGTTTTCTACCTTGGATTAAGTATGGATACTGGCAGGTAGAAATGGACCCAGTAGATAAAGAAAAGCCAGCCTTCACCACAGGATCTGGACTGTGTCAATTCAACGTTATGCCATTTGGACTCTGTAATGCTCCTGTGTGACATTTGAGAGGCTTATGGAAAATGTGTTGAGAGGGTTATCTTGGAAAACATACCTGGTTTATCTAGATGAAATAATCGTCTTGGGGGAGACATTTGAAGACCATCTGAAGAATTTAGAAAACGTTTTTAATCGACATAAAGCTGCCCAATTTATGTTAAACCCCAAGAAGTGCCAGCTATTTTAAGGTAAAGTCAATTATCTGGGTCATATAATCAGTAAAGAAGGAGTGGCCGTGGATAAGGGAAAAACTGATTCCATTAAGGAATGGCCAGAACCAACTGACAAGCATCAAGTAAGAAGTTTTCTTGGACTATGTACTTACTACCGGAGGTTTATTAAAAAGTTTGCAGATATCGCTAAACCAATAACGAGACTTACAGAGGAAGCAAGAGAATACCGCTGGGATACAAACTGCCAAAATGCCTTTGAGACCTTAAAAAAGCATTTAATCACAGCACCAATTTTAGGGTCTCCACTGCCAGAAGGAGAGTTCATCTTAGATACAGATGCAAGGAATGTGGGAATTGGAGGAGTGCTGTCTCAAATTCAAGGAGGACAGGAACGAGTTCTTGGATATTATAGTAAAGTTCTTTCGAAACCTGACAGGAAATATTGCGTCACGAGAAGAGAACTTCTAGCAGTGGTGAAATCAGTAGAGTACTTCTATCAACACCTCTATGGAAGAAAGTTTTTAATCCGAACCGAATATGCTGCCCTTAAGTGGTTGATGCAGTTTAAGAATCCAGAGGGTCAGATAGCTAGGTGGATGGAACGACTCCAAGAATACGATTTCAAGATTGAGCACCGGGCCAGAGTTAGTCACAGAAACGCTGATTCTCTTTCCAGAAGGTCATACCCAGCAGAGTGTTCCTACTGCAACAAAAACAGAATCCAAGGAAGCAGCAGTGTTAAGAACAACGATCGTTAACGACGACTGGACGCCTACCAAGATAAGGGAAGAACAAGGGAGAGATCCAGTTATACAGAAAATTCGAAAATGAAAAGAGTAAAACCGTTGACCACCTTGGCAAAAAATATTAAACCTATTCTCACTAGTTAAGACGTATTGATCTCAGTGGGACTCATTTATCATAGAAGATGGCTTACTCAAACGAGTCCTGGAAAATGATGACGGTTCAGAGAAGACAATACAGTTGGTGATCCCAAAGAGCAGAATAGCCGAAGTACTTCGTCAGTTAAACGACAGTCCATCAGAAGGATATTTTGGTGTAAAGAATACCCTTTAGCAAATTAGGTAACGGTTTTATTTAATGAACAGTTCCGACGACGTAAAAGGCTGGTGTAAGAAATGTACTATTTGTGCTATGAGTAACGGGCCTTATCGAAAAAAAAAGAGCTCATATGAGAAAATATAATGTTGGAAGCCCGTTTGAAAGAATAGCTTTGGACATTGCTGGGCCATTTCCAGAAAGTGAAAATGGAGGCAAGTACATGTTGTTAGTAATGGATTACTTCACTAAGTGGGTCGAGATTTGCGCACTTCCAGACCAGAAGGCCGCCACCGTTGCAGATAAGTTGATCCAAGAATATATCAGCCGATATCAGAATCCTATTCGGACGCGAGATGCGACTACCTTGTGATATAGAGTTTGGGTGTTGACCGAATGAAGAAACGGTACGATACGCAAGCCGAAAATGGGTGTTTTAAGCACATTAATAATCCCAAAAAGCGAAAAGGTTGTTCTCCCAAGTTGCAGCAGTTTTGGGAAGGTCCATATCCCATTATGTAGAAGATCAATGATGTCATTTACCGAATAAGCAAGATTCCGAGGGGAAAGCCGATGATAGTACACCATAACCGACTGGCGTCTTTCGAAGGTAACCACGACGCAGATGAAGAAGTGGAAGTCAAGATGCGTCTGACCTCACCTTTAAAGAATTCATGTGTGCCTATGGAGGTACCGGTAAAGCAAGACATGGTGTTACCACTGAAGAAAGGCAAGATCTACTCGCGCTTCCCGATGACTACTCACTGGCCCTTACCATTCCGGCCAGTATCAAAGACGCACCAGGGTTGGCATCCGTCTTTCGAAGGAAGTTCGGTCGAGTTGTAGAACTTCAATGCCAAGTGCCAGCTCCCGGAAGAGCCTTGAAGCTCCAAGATGCATCACGTTACCTTTTCTACCTGGTAACAAAAGACACTGCCCGTGACCAACCTATCTACCGAGATGTATGAAAAGCCTTACTTCAATTGAGAGAGCACGTACTAGAGTCCGACGTGCAAAAGTTAGCCATGCCAAAGTTGGAGTGCCGCCAATAAGATATGAGGGTTATCCGAAATGTGGTGGAGGAGCTCTTTAAAGACACCGACGTCCAAGTGTTAGTCTGTTGCAATCCGCACAGTTACTGGTGCGGAGAGATAACTGTCCCTTGTGATTTTTATACAACTGCAAGTTGTAAAAGAGGGTCGAGTTGCCGGTACCATCATGCCGTTCCAGTTCTAGTCCCGACAAGTTTCTAGGAGAAATCATCATTTAGGAGGGGGGCAATATTACGTAAAAAGTATTAAAATCATATTAAAAACCTGTAAATATGTTGTTTATTGACTAATATGTTCTAGATTTTACGACCCTTCGACTATCTGGCAGAAATTCCAAGTAATAAATAAAAAACCGGTCCATTCGAACGTTCCGTAAATAGATTGAATAAGAAACGAGGCCGTAACCTTATAGTATTTTCGCTAAGGGTCGACATTCTTCTAGTCTAACAACTGTATGGGTATATAATGGTATTTTCATTGTGAAAGGGCTAGTCAGAAAAGAAGATCGCGACGGAACGCTCGTATTCATATAAATTTTGTAGTTATTATTGTAAGATAAATTCGTACAAAAAAACTTTAAATAAATTAAGTTGTAAGTGTTATAAATATAGAACCTTTGCCAAAAAATAAAAACAATAAATTAGAATTAATAAAGACTTAACAGTATGTTACTTTTGATATTCCCTTTGTAATTAAAATTGGTATATTATATTTACAACAGTTTATACAAAAATAATTAAAAACAAAATTTTTGTGGTCTAATCCAAATTGCAAAATAACACCACCATTCAGTTTCATAACTAGTGCACATTTAGCTTATATAGTCTTAGTAACTCAAATATGTCTCAAATTTTATGCGAAATTTCTTAACAGCAACCATATTAATATTTAGTACATCATAAAATAATTAATTATAACGTCATTACGAAAATATTTTAAATGCATTTAAAAATACATTAACAAAATCACCAATTAATTTCCGTTAAAAATGGCTTCAAAAGAGTTTCGGCATCGTATTTCTACCGAGTCACACCAAATGTTTGGTCAAGCAATAAATCGATTCTGAAATTTCCTTCAAAGTTCCAGCTCCTCGCTTAAAAAATTCTATAATTCTGGGTAATTATGGAGTGCACGCCAACAGTAGCTACCTAGTAATCAGCCAATTTAATTGGTCGGCTTCTGTATGGTGCACACCTCATATTATTATATCTATTGAAATATCTACTATATTGAATATATAAAATAAGTCCGTCGTTTTAATTGAATCAGTCGCGGTGTGGAAAGTCGAGTGGCAACATGTGGAGTTTTTTGTGTCTAGTGTTCGTTATTTTCAGAGTGGGGTAAGTTGATTTATTGCTTCATTTGGTACAGAAACCGATTTTTTGTCCACAAATAAGTAGCATTCAGAAAAATTGTACCGATATAAATTCTCATGAAAAAATATATCAGGGAGACAGAATCATAAAAATACATTTCGACATTTACAACACACAATTTTAGTAATATTACAATAATATTTTTATTATTACAGTTTTATAATGTTTTTAGTCACTACTAAAATATGTTACACATTCTAACATATTAGAGAATTAAATAATGTTGGTATTTTATTATAATACTACTAATAAATTTGTTTACATAACAGAAAATCGTAGGTAGTCACTGTAAGTTACACATTATTTATTTAGTACAAATAAATACAAATAAACAAAGTCAAAAATACTATCGTTGTTTATTTGTAGCTACTCCAACAAAAAAAAATATGCTTGACCGCCGAAATATAACAGAAATGACGCTAAAATCCTGAAATTAAATTTTAAATTTAAAAATTTTTTTAGATATTTTATTTTTAATAAAATATTATTAAACATAATAAGGTACCAATGATGTGTTTCTGTATTTTCTGTCTCACTATTTTGTGAGCCGATTCTTCATATAGATTAGGCAATTTTGCTCCACTTACAAGCAATACTGGATTTTTTAAATAATTCTGCTTTAAATCAAACTTCCTCTTCTTATAGTGCCGTGCACCTATAGTGCGTTGGCGAATTATCTTAAGACCAGACGTCTGTCTTTTGCGGCATGCAAAAGTTCGCCAGTGTTATTTATGCCTGTCCAGTTCTTTATGTTTCGTAGTAACGACATTTGTTTGAGACCTATTCCTCTTTTGCCTTTTTCTTTCCCTGGATGATTAGTTAAGGGATTGCGTATTTTTTTCCTCTCAGAATATTGCCGAGGTATCCTATTTTTCGTACCTTGATCAAATTGAGTAGTTCTCTCTCAGTATTTTCCTTTCTTAAGACTTCCTCGTTTCTCACCCTATCTGTCCATGGTATGCGGAACATTCTTTGCAACGTCCACATTTTGAAGGCATCCAACTTATTAATGGAAGGTACTCTTGACATCCATGTTTCCATGCCGTATAACAATATGGACCAAACATAATATTTAAGCATCCTGTAGCGGAGATTAAAGGAAATATTTTTAGAATTAGAAGATTTAAAGAAATTTAATAAGAGCTTGTTCTTGCTTGTTCGAAACGGCATTTTATTTTTTGTTAAGGATCCCAATGGTCATTTATCATCATTCCCAAGTGTTTAAACGTTTTCACTTGATCGATTGGAGCATTATCTACTTGCAGTTGTATCTTAAAAGTGCATTTTTTCTTATTGCCATGCATTTAGTTTTTCCAGCATTTATCTTCAAGCCATATATTTTTCCTACTGTGTTACTTAACCTGAACTGCATATTATATATTTATCGGAAACCCGTTTACCTTTATTCCTTACTCAGAACCTTCCAGTACCTCTGCACTGGAAAAATCCGCTAAAAATCCATAAATCAAAAATCCGCATTTATTTATAGGTACAATTCGTCAAAAGAATATGTATAATTTTTTTAAATTATTTTTAGAAACCAGTTTTGTCGTTTATATGTGAGTGTCAATTACAGTAGGTAGCTTATTACCTAATCTATATTGACCCAAAAAACCAAAACATTTTTTGTAATTTAAAATATTTAGCTTTTGGTTTAATAATGCTTACAAAAGTAAAGTTTGGAATAGATTTTTCTAAAAATATGGTACTCTTTTTAAAAAAAAGGGTATCCTTATTGACCAGTTTGCATAATTAATAACTATAGCTAACAACAAATTAAAGATGCCAAAAATTACAAATTTAAATAAAGAGTTTTATTTCTAATTATAACAAACAGTAAAAATATTTTAAATATGTATCTAACGTATATCTACATTACATTTATTAGTGCAAACACTTATCCACGTTAACATTCTTCTTTACGCCACATTCATTCGTCGCTGGCGTATTGCAGTTTTCTAGAATTTTTCTTTTAGCTTATGGACACTCGATATAAACTGATGTTCTGGTCACTGCGATTAACGCCACCCATAAAGTTATTGTATATTCTAACAATATTTGGTTGAGGAACTTGAATATGTTTTTTCTCTGCTTGTGAAAATCTCTTTACAGAGAAGCAAGGCATTATTGGTACAAAATTGGAAGCAATAGAAAACCACTGATGAACAGGGTAAAGGGCATTTCATGGTGCGATTTTCCCTTACAGTGCCTGTACGAAATATGCCTCTTTGTTTTAGCTCATGCAGTAAATGAATAGAAGTAAAATAATTATCAAAAATAAGATGGAATCGCCTTTGAGGCCATACTTCATTCAATCTGTCTGCATGATGCACCCAATCCAAGGACTTTATATTGTTCAGGTATTGTAGTTGAATTACCTTGGTAAGGAGAAAACCAAACTATGTATCCCATACGAAGAGCTCCTACCCACATTTTGTACCCCCAACGGATTGGTTTTCCCCTGATGAATTGTTTTGTGGGATGGCGACCAAAATATGGAACCATTGCCTCATCTATGCTGTGATGTTGTTCTAAAGGGGAAAATTATATAAATTTTTTGTTTCTTACGTCGAATAGGGGTCGCATCTTGGCAAATCTATCAAATTTATCTAATAATAAGTTATTGCAAACATGCAAAACTTTCATTATGTGGGAAAATCTATCCCTAGATATTCCATCTACCATCATTGCGTTGTGCGAATCATCACGATTTTCCCAGTACATGTACCTTTTCGGCACAACCATGTAACCACTTAATACAAGAACGCCTATAAAACATCGAATCTCATTTTAAGTAATGTCGTTCAAAAGATTTCTTTGTCCTGCGTAGATGTTAGTGTATTCGGTAACCAAATTGATGACTTCGTCGTCAAAAAATAAATTGAAAATTTCCATCGGCGACTGAGTCATTTTCGGTGCAAATTGAGTTTTCCAGTAAGTACAATCAGGGTGTTGATACAAGTGTCCTTGAATCCAGTGTGCAGATATTCTCTTCTCTAAATGATGGAGCAGCTTTTCCTTGGAAAGAAATAAAGCCAATGGTATATTGTCATCATCCGAATCTTCTTGTGGTAGGCTGGAATTCACAGAATCTTGTGGTAATTCAGTCGCGTTGTCAAAAACAAGTTCTACATCGTTTCTCATCTGAGTACCCGGTAAATTATTTATTTATCATTGGTATTTTCTGGGGGAAATATGATCAAACCATCTGGAGGAACTGGGATTTCATCAGAATCAAGCTCTTCTAATAGCTCATGCAATTTGAGAGGCCTCCTGAAACAACACGCACGTTGGTAGTACTAATTACTACCGTCCTTTTAAAAGAACAAAATGAAATCCCAAGCGGCGAGTCTTTGAAACAACGTGACAACTATTCGAGCCAAGAATATACGTACATAAGACCCTATTATACAATAATCCACATGCCAATGCCGTGAAATAACAGTTTTTTAATTCTAGACTTACCTCCAATTATAAGCATCCATTTTGTAGTCCAAAACCTGGCAATGTACACAGATAACCTCACAATTACAGCATGTGCGCGCACTAAAATCGTTAAAACTTGTCGAATGCTGGCTCTTGAAAACACTCCATCTAGAGCCATCTATCAGTTTTTAGCTGTACTAACCTAAATTATGCATAATTTACACTGCCTTTTAAAAGGACGCGTAGTAATATCTGGGTTAATAGCATAAAATGTGCATCTGAATTTAATATAATTATAAAAAAAATATTTTAAACTGTTTTGACACTGATTTACACGCTTTTGCACATTTTACGTAACTATAATAATAGTATGAATAAATAGTTTTATGGTTCTGTAGTTTGTGCACTGTTATATATCTCCCTTGTTAGTAAACAGGTACTAATATACTGCTTCTCCATTTAACTGGCCTTTCTCCCACTTCCATAATTCTACTAAATTAATTTTAGAATTTTATATCGATATTATCTTATAACGTGTGCCACAAATTGTAAGTTGTATTTATTATTTCGTATTCATTGCCTATTTTTTTCTTTTCTTTTGTGCCTATGCTATTCAGTTTTTTATATTCAATTTTTTTTCTATGTACATAAATTTAAAATTGCCAACAAACTTTGTTCATTATTTCTGAAGTGTATCAGTTGAGATCTTTTTAGCTTTGTTTTGAGCTGCCCTGCATATTTCTTTGTTTTTATATCTTATTTATAAGTACCTATAATATACTCTTTACTTTTAGTTTCTGCATTTTTAAATTGTTAATTTTATTGTCGAACTGATTTTAGGGATATTTTTTTCTTACCAACGCTCTTAATAATTTGCTTTTCAACTCATATTCTCCCGTTTATTATTAATATTTGCATGCAAAGATTATTGCTCTAGATATTAATTTAATCTTCTTTGGTAAATATATCTTAGTCTTTCTTCTTTCTTCGTCTTCTCCTTTCTTCTATATTTAAACTTATTTTTTATAATCCCTCTACAATATTCCAGTGTACTTCAGCCAACTGGTGTGCATCTTCTATTTATTCATACCCTTTGTAGAATTCTGAAACCCTTTACTAGTTTATACAGGTCTAGATGATGGGATTAGCTAGTTTATTCTTGACTTCTCTGGATCGTTGTGAGTGATCTGTCTTGACCTTTAGGTTGATTCTACGTGAGTATTTGTAATTTTACTACAAATTACGTGTTTGTAGCTAGTTTAGGTTTTTTAGTTTACTTATATTTTTTTAGCTAACTTTATAGTCATATATTTTTCTTTCTTCTAATTTTTACCTGTGAATCTTTATTTTTGTCTAATTCGACTTTGTTAATTTAATAAATGTATATTTTCAATATCTACAAGTAAACTCAATATTCATGTAATTGTTTTAAACATGTATGTGTATATCAAAATAAATACAACCAGATAATAGTTTTAACCTTAATTTTAAGATAATTTTAAAATATAATTATGCATTTTAACACATAAATAATAAACAACTAAATTTTTGTTTTTATCAATACCTTAATAGACGAAAAAATATAACAAATACAAAAAGGAAATAGTAAATTTGTAGGTCATTATTAGATAAGTAATACCTCTTGCCATGGTTTCATGAACAAATTCAACAGTACGAATTGTGGTAAACCACTAAATCTTAAGTCATCCATAATAGTGTCTAGCTGAAAACACACTAGTAAAAAATATTTAGTTATTATTTAATTTATTAGCTACACTTCTTGATAATTTAAATCAGGCAATTATAATCGAAATTATTTGTTTATTCCTATCATAAACAAAATCAAGTTACAATAATAATTATTATTCACGATGACTCAGACACAAAATTTTAAAAGAGAGATACGATAAATAGTAGTCGCATGCGGACATTAGACAAGAAATGAAAGAAACGATTGTTGCTTATCTGTCTATTAATTGTCATTATTTATTTTTTCGACACAGCTCTACTAATTGTTTTGATCTTTTCGAATGGTTCATTTATTTTTCTTTTTGAAATACTGTTCTGAAACTATAGTTCTGTGGCATTTTTATTTGAACTTTGAGAATCATTTGCTAAGTGTCCATTGAAATGTTAACTTAAGAATATATCGTATTTTAGATTAAAAATTTTAGTAAGAATACGCTTTGTAGAATGATCATCAGAGATATACAGGAAAGCTGGGAACGAAGCAAAAATAATTTCAAGGCCGACGCATAAGCGGTGGTGAGAAAAATTGGTAGAAAAACCAAATGACAGAAACTCTACTACAATGAATGCAAAACTATGAATATCTGTAATATAACTTTAGCAGTTCCCTAGAAGAGTATTTAGAATACCAAATCTCATTTAAAATTTATCATATAATACATAAACTTATGGAGGTGACTACAATATCAAAGATTATGAAAGCAGCCAGAGCAAACCAAATTAATATGAAAGTTGTAAGTTATGTGGTGTCTGCTATACTTAAGAATATTGTACCTTATAAATCAATGTTATTTGGAATCTAGAATACATCAAACATGGCCAATGGTACAAATCGTACTATTCAAAAATAATGACCATAACACTTTTCTCTCCATCCCTCGAATGGGTTAAAATTATTGTTTATTAGTATTTCAGCAGTTTTAAGTGGCGAGTTTCCAGTGCAGGTACGCAATAAGTGAACATGGTCTTGGTTATGCCCGATATAGATCAGAGAACTTGGTTAAGTTGAACATAAATACCATTTGTATGTGGTTTATTTATCTATGGCGATGTTCAGTACTTCTCAGCAAGATACACGCCCATTGCTGCCAATTAAAGTGTTGACGCTGAGAAACCCCATGAGGTATCCCATAGCTTGTGCAGAATGTTATTGGTGGTTCTAAGTGTTGTAGTTGTCTTCGTAGATTGTTCTTTCAAGCTAAGAATTTTTTCAAGTGTAACATCTAGTTATTTTAAGTATTTATTGTAACTAGGGCGGAAACTTATTATAACTTAAAAAGGACGATGTTATCTATCAGAAAAATCAAACATGATTGACACTGGTAATAGTTGGTTTTTGAAATCAAAAAATTTCCTTAGTATTTGACGTCGAATATGAGGTGTCTAACATGTTCCTCTGGTCACTTCAAAAGAAACGTGACACGCTTATGGTGACTCTTTAAATATGGCTTATTATTCGTACCGGCTAAGCACATAGGTAGCTCCCAGCGGGTCAAAGACTAGAAGTTTTCCTCATCACCTCACTTAAACTTTGTTTTCTGTGTGTGGTTCCTAAATTATAACGAGGTTAACATCGTTTTCTTGTAAAAAATTAGGCATTTGGACCTGTTGACGCCTTATAAAATAAAGAAGTAAACTCATATACCAGGTCGGAGATCTCTTGTAAATTGGGGATCAAAAAGACGGTGTTTATTCACTCATTTCTTAATACTCTACAGCAAAATGCATTAAATAAACCAAGGACTGAAACAAGGTTTTAAGTATAAAGAATTAAAGAAAATTGGCTAACTAAATAAATACTAAATAACAAATCGAAAAGAAACAAGAATGATAGGACGTCCATTGAAGATATAAAGTAAAGTTTAATACCTTAATATCAAATACATGATATGAAAAAAAAAATTAAATGTTATCGTTTATATAGTGCCTGTTTGATTTTTTGATTTAGTCGGTTTCTCATGTTTTTATTTTCCTAATTATTGTTCTTCTGACTGTTTTTTTTTTCATGTGGATGTCACATTCTTCAGTTGTTTATTTGGTATTACTTCTTGCTACTTCTATAGCATTTTCTAGCTCTAGCCTCTAGCCAAATCTGTATTTCTTGTGGATTATTAGGAGAAGGAAACGTTTCCATTTCCTATATTTACTAGTTGTTTAAAGTTAGACCACTTCGTTTTTCTTTTTTTGCATTGTTTTTTGTTTTCTTCTTCCCATGTATCTACTTTTAGGAGTATATTGTTGTGGTCTCCTGATCCTTTTTTAGGGTTCGGATGTCTGTCTGTAGTTCATCAAACAGGCATTAAAAGAACATAAAAGCCAAAAGTGTGACAACTATGTAAAATAAATCGATAAAGGGGGCCTAAATATGCAAGAAATATGGAGGCTCCAAAGAATTTTAAGAAAAAATAAAAAACCCATTTACCCACTAGACTGACTCTTAAGAAAGAGTGTACACTAAATTATCACCAGGACAAAGAAATAGCCTTTTTGAAGAAGTTAAAGAAAAAACAGTTAAAAACTGATTAGAAAAAGTGTACAAAAAAAACACCTGATCAAGGCAAAATCACTAACATAGCTCTGAAATATATTTCTTCAAAATTAATTGTGTATCTTACAAATATAACAAACGCAACCCGGAACCGAGGAAGAACATGAAATTATGATATTAAATTCAGGAAAGAACCACATATTTTTGCAAAATTACAGGCCGATTAGCTTACTTTTAGCACGCTGTAAAATAGTAGAGAGAGTCGTCTAAATCAAACTCCAATCACATACATACGGGTTAGGGTTAATTACAGAAGCAGAATTAGGATTCATAGTTCAACACATAGATTTATAGTTCACTTTATGCCACATTGCGACAAAATGTGGCATAAAGCACTGACATACAAAATAAGAGATTATAGATGTAACGGGGCAATGACGAAACTCATCTCCTCGTACCTAAGCGACCAAATTCAGGGTCCAGATAGGACCATTTATATCTGAACATAAAAGAACACTACTGAGAACAAATCAAGGAAGAACTAAGAGTTTCTAAATCAACCGAGAAGGCAGGGTTAGACAATTTAAGCTTTGCTTTTAATTTTAATTAAAATAACGGACATATTCAAAGCTTCTCCAGTATTAGCTCTCTATTTTTGGCAGGTATCCTCACTAAGCTGCCTTTTATAAAATACGTTAAAAATAATTACGTGAAAATGTGCATTATATATTTAATTTTCTTTTAGAACTGCAGATTTGGGTGGTTCTTGCGTTCAGCAGCTGACTTCACCAATAGGACATGCAGAAGGTCCTCACTGGGATGGTCGACGAAATATTTTATACTTCGTTAATATTCCAGATGGGGAGGTTTATGCCTACCATTATAACTCAAAAATATTAAAGAAGATTACACTTAATGGTAAGTAGTTGTAGTTTATAACTTTGTATTGTGAATAGTTAGCAGTTAGGTGCTTAGTGAATTCAAAAATAATATTTTTCACTTGTGTGAAACTCAAAAATGATTAAGTTTACAGAAAAATTACAAGAGACCTCTTTTGTTCAGAATGGTCAAAAAAAATTGTGTATGTCGAAAAAATTAATTGTTCTAATTTGTTTGAAAAAAGTGTTTGAAAAAATTTGAACCAATTCTCGCCTGGGTGACCTCTTAAACCTTTTTTTGGAGTATATCGTGTAAGTGATTATGCAAAAAAGCCTTATGGGAATATTTTCCCGAACGAACTTGAGCTTTTCGCCTCGTATAGTCGCATTTTATTAAAAAAAAATAATTACCATGTGGAAAAAATTGCAAAAATAGTCTACCGATCAGACCTTGTCTTTTTATTAGTGTTTTTGCTGAAGTATAATGACATTATTTTTATTCAAGTAAATTAGAATTTATTATTAAATATTTTAATGTGTTATATTATAATGAAGGAATTGCCCTTTCAAGCACCAGTTTAATTTTGTAAGCACTTACGTTTCACCTCAGAAACTTTATAAACTTGGTAAAACAGTCTATATTAGATGTCTCTTAAAATTTCAATGAGATTTTAGATATAATCGATTTTACTACCATCATTTAAATTGTATATTTAGTACTATTTTTTAATCATATTTATCAGTATGATTGTCTAGATTTCCATTTTACCTTAGTAAGTTTGCTTCTAATTCCAATTGCATTGATCCTTCCAGAATTTGTTTTCCTATCTGTTTCCTTTTGTTCTTCTGTGTTGTTTGGTTCTGCTCTGATTTCCAGTTTATTTTCCAAAAAAAATACGGTGATATGTTTTTCCCTCAATTCATCAATTCCCGCTATCATATTATGATTTAAATCTTCAATCACCACACATTTCATAATATGGAATTTGTCTCCCACTCTGATCCGTACTCCCAAACCCTCGTTTACTGTCGTCAAATTTTTATTGTTTGCATCCACTAAATCAACCCTAGGAATCTTATACACAAATCTGTCCAAATTTAATTATTTTACTAGTTTTTTATTGACTAGCGATATCTCCGATCCAGTATCAATCACAATTTTAATAGCTTTATGTTTTATAAATGCATCTAAAAATATTAGATTAGAATTAGAAATTTGTCTTTCGTTTCCTATTGCTACATGATTCATTTCCCTTCTATTTTGTTGTTGGATGCTCTGGTTATTTCTATCGTCCCTTTGTTCGTTCGTATTCCTATTCGGAGGATTTTGTGCAGCTCTATTCCTGTTGTCATTTTCATATGTTCTATTTTGTGTGTCATTCCTGTTATCGTAATTTTGTTGTCTATTGTAATTATTGTAATTTCTCGGCCTATATTTGTTTGTTGATCTGGGATGTTGGTTTCTCGGGTCATAATTTGATGGATACCTTCTTTCCGGTCCATTATATTGGTCATGTTGCCTTTTATTTCTCATTTCTCTTCTTTTCGCTTCTTTTAATTGATGGAATTTACACAAACTATCAATATCTTGATAGTTTCTCAAAATCACGTGATCTTCCAAAGTTTCCTCAAAATGTCTGCTTATCATTTCTACCAGCTGTTCGGTAGAATATTTGTATTCCAGATATTTTGAATTGTTATATTCCCATTTTTTTCGTGATATTTTCCATTCTGTAGCTCTTGATTGATTTCTCTCTGTTGAGAGATTTTTCCCCCAGGAATAGTTAAAAAATTTATTTTCAAAATTTGTCCAATTTTCAAACTCATCTTCCTTGCTTTCATACCATAACGCTGCTCCTTCTTTCAGATGGTTTCTAATTGTTTGTTTTCAATCGTCAAAATATCTAACATGTTGCAATTTGGTTTTCAAATTTTTAACAAACGGTACTGGGTGTGTTTTCCGAATATCCCCGCCAAATTTTATTTTCGCCTCGCTTGTTTCATGGATGATAACTTCTTTTCTCTCTACCCCTCTTAGTTCAATTTCTGCCATTTGTTTTTTATTTTGCTGTAATCTCCTTTCTACTTCCTTCCTGTCTTCTTGTAGCGCCATTTCAAATTTTTCTTCTAACTGTTCTAATTCCTTTTTCTGGACAATCTTGATTTCCTTTAATTTTCTGTTCATCTCCTCTACACATCCTTTAATTTTCTGTTCATAATTTTCCAAACGCTGTTCTATATTCATGTTATTTTCTTCTATTGTTTGCTTTGTTTCTTCTTGGTTTCTATCCATTTTCTTTAATGTTTCATTCTGTATTTGCAACGTTGCTAATAATTTATCTATTCCTGATGATTATTTTCTCTCCTCAACTATTGTAACATTTCCTTCATTATCCGATCCTTCTTCAACAATTGTTTCCTCTTCTCTGTTATCCTCCTTCCTTTCTTGCATTTTGCTTTGACTCCTTGTGGTCGACATGTTGTTTATTTTCGTTAATGTTTTACGTTGCAGGACACGACAATATTTCTCCCCAATTGTAATAAATTTTCACGACAAATATCAAATATGCCATCAGTAAAATTCAAATAATTCAAAATAAATATCAAATGTACGATTGGTAAAGAAAATAAAAATCAAATAATTCAATAGCAGTAAATTCAACTAACTACCGTTAATCAATAAATAAAATTTTTATCGACTGGAGAAAAATTGTCAAAATACTTTCAAATTCAAATTCCCTCAATGTTATATATTTTTATCTCTGGATCACCTGAACTTATTCCAGATCTTTTTCCCATCCTTCAAATGTAAAGCTGCGATATTTTCAAGCCCCACGTTTTGGAAGCCAGTTATTGTGATATTCAAAATCTTAGTGCGCCGAGCAATTAATTAGCTAATTAATTAATTGATTAATTAAAATTATTTAAATAATATGATCTTCAACTCTGCAAAGTCTAACAGACATACTGGAACGGCTGAATGAAAAGTGTACCATATATGGTATTAAAATGAACTTAAAGAAAACAAACTTCATGGTCATTACAAAACATCCAAAAGACAACGAGACACTCCATATTAATAATATCCAGATAGAAAGGGTAGATAAATACAAATATCTAGGAACATTGGTTAGTCAAAACGCAGAACAAACGCAAGAGATTAAAAGCCGTATAGAAATAGCAAGGGCAAAATTTGTAAAAATGAAACATCTATTGTGTAGTAGAGATCTAAGAATGGATCTAAGGATAAGGTTATTGCGCTGCTACATTTTTACAACTTTGCTCTACGGATCTGAGGCATGGACATTGAAACAACTGGAGATTAAGAAATTGGAAGCTTTTGAGCGTTGGTGTTATCGAAGGATGCTACGAATAGCATGGGTAGACAAAATTACCAATATTGAAGTCCTTGATAGGGTTAATAAGAGGGAAGAAACTGTACAGACAATTAAGAGGCGGAAACTTGAATATTTCGGTCATATATTAAGAGGTCCTCGTTATGGGCTACTACGTTTGATTATAGAGGGCAAAATAAAAGGTAAAAGAGATGTAGGAAGAAGACGAACCTCCTGGCTACGAAATCTAAGGGAATGGTTTAGTCTGAGCTCTAGCCAACTATTTAGAGCTGCTGTAAGTAAAATAAGAATTGCCATGTTGATATCCAACCTTCGTTAGAAGATGGAACCTTAAGAAGAAGAAATGATATGATTATGATTCTATCACACTTTTTATTTCTCTTATCTCAGGGTTATATTCGTGCTTCAATATCTATACTTTACATGTGAAAGGAAAGGTCCAAAGAATACCGGAATAATAAAAAAACATATATGATATAACATTATATATTGAAATAAAAATAATAAAATAAAAATCCCACTCAAATATTTTCAATAAACAATATCTCATATAATGATTCTCAAAATTTTGTTCTACGTACGTGAACCTTCAAAATTAATGGTACAATCAATATTAGTTAAAATCTCAAAATCCCAATTATTATTCTAAATCTCCTAATCAAAATAATTTATATATTTTCTAAAGTAATTGTAAAAATTGTGTTATCAATAAAAAAAAAACTGTAGAAAAACAAAACTATCTCTCTCTGATGATGAGTGTGTGTTGTTCCTCCCCATATGGGTGTGGCAGTTAAGTTCCCCAAAAATAATTTTAGGTAAAATAATTTATTTCAAATAGCTGCTAAATCTTCTTGGTATATATTTAGTTTGATTTGGTTATATATGCACATATTAAAATATGTGCATATTATTGTTTTCAACAGTTTTACCTTTGTATTTCTCGTTATAATTATTGAGGATTTAAGAAGGAGATTGATCCCAAGATAGAATTTGTTGGCCGAGGAAATTCTGCGGTTGATCTATGCGGTAAAATACGCGTTTGGCAGTAATTTAAGGTGAAATATGTTATTTGTAGAAACATGAATAATTCAGAAAGGTATATACATATTTATATTTTAAAATAAGGAAAATTTAAGAATTTTTGAAATTTGTTTCCTATTAGCCGATTATAGATATGTGTGTTTCAGAAATAACATAATTTCGTTTTTCAGTATGGATATAAAAACCATTTAAGTTCCATTGAAGTAGAGATGCGAATGTAATTATTCTTTAGATAAAATGACAGATGACTCGAAATATTTTTCCAACAATAAGGTTCTCGCTGCTGGGTTTATATTATTCAAGGGTTAACGACGATTTCGTATTATTATGGTGCTTTTAGTTTTTACGCTTTTATTAGTGTAGTATTGATCTTATCTCGTTAGAAACTGTAGAAGTGCATGAGCATGAGAGTCTTCTAACTAGAGTTTTATTATGCTGATTATGTCTTTTGGCCCTTCTATATTTTCAAATAGATTTACTACTTAATCTAATCTTAACAATTCAGTATGTTTTCTTTTCTATATATTCTCTTACTGGTTTAAGTAACGTTTTTGGGCTTATTATCTAATTTTTCAAGTTATTGTCATTAGTTTTGGTTGTGTTCTTTCAAGATTTTTTAAAATTGTTTTCAGTTGGTGGTAAG